CCCCAAAACCCCAAAACCCCAAAACCCCATGAATCAGAATTTGATCAAATTTTGAATTAAAGCTTTGAAAATCTTAAATCACATTTAGTTATAAAAGCATAAAGCAAAAGCCTAATATTCAAATAATGATCATTTAATCTTAGCATCAATTAGCATTTCATGGAGTTTATTAGAGTTAAGAGGTTTAGGTAAAAACCCATCAAACCATCGTTCTGCATTAGTGCGAAATTATTCCTCTGGCATCGCAGTATGAGCTACTATCTTTGTATACTAGTTAAAAATTAAGAGTTCTTATTTGATACTTTTGGTTGCTTCAACTCCATCCATTACAGGCATATTAATATCCATTATTATCAGTTTATACATCTATATTCTGCTATCTGTCTGATGCTAATATAATCGAGACTTTACCTTCTTTAAAGCATCTTGTCCAGACATAGCATAGTCTATTCTTAATGAAAAAAGCTAGTTAAGCATCATCTAAAGAATGTCAATATTAAAGGCGCAATCATCTACTACTAAAATAGAGCTATATTCTTCTTCAATAAGTTCTCTTGTTTAAATTCTACTCTTGATTTTAAACTGATGTAAGGGAATTAAATTGGCTGATTGCTATTTTTTGTGAAAACCCCTTTAAGATATTGGCTATAATTCTTCCTAATACTCTGATCTCATTTTTTATGGAACTGGATCATCAATTTCAGATATCTCTAGATTATCTTTGAATTTCCAATTCTATCTTACAGTATTAGTATCTCTTTTGACCTCTTCTGAAAATGACTGATTGAAATATAAACTTTGACTACTCTGATCGTTGTTTATTTGTACAGGAAGATATAATTAGAATTTAGAGCCTTTGCCAGGCAATGTCCATTCAAGGAATAATTTCCCACCAAGATCTTCACATATTAAGTTTGAAACTGTCAATCCTAATCCTATTCCAGACTGACTAATTTGCTCATCTGAGAGCTTTACTTTGCCAAAGAGATTAAATAATTATCTTGTATTATTTTAGTCCATTCCTACTCCTGTGTCAATAACGCTAAAGGATAGGTATTACATGCCCACACAACCATTGTTAAGAATTGATTAGATACATTTCTGTCGATAATCATCTAGTTTTTGACTACTAGGAGTAGATTGAATAAGTTATTGTGTAGTATTAGGTTCATCATTTACTTGATTTGTTATTTGATCTTAACTCTCCTCGCAATCATCTTCTATTTTCAGTTATAATTCCCTATATGACATTATTTTAGCAGTCAGTACTATGAATCCTGATTAAGTATACTTAAAGGCATTGCTTAAAATGTTGAAGAGAACTAATTATAGTTTTTCATGGTCAATGAGTAGATTGTTATTGAGTATTAAGCTTTAAATTGACTTGTTAATCTTAATCTTCTTCATAGCTATTTCTTAGTTAAATAAGTGAACTATTTCGTCAAGAACAACATTGAGCCTAATTTCATCTATTTTCTAAACAGACTTCTTTAGCCGAATTTTAGAAAGTTCTATAATATTCTTAGTATTGAAAATTAGATTATGTAGGCAGTTGCTCATCAAATGACAATACTACATTGCTTCTTGATTATTAGACACTGTTCTCTCTAGTAATTACTAAACTCCAATCATTCCATTAATAGGTGTGAATATGTTATGAGCAGTTGAGTTAATGAATACATTGGTGAATTATTCTCTAGTCTTAGATTTTTAAAGTTTCTTAAAGGCACCTATCTCTTTGAATAGAAGAAGAATCTATGAATCTTGCTCAAATGAAACAACATTTATTTCAATAGAAATGTTATTAGGCTATAATTTAATGTAGAACTTTTATTGTTCAGAAGACTTGCTTATATTCTTTCTTATCTTTTCAATAAAACTAGAGAGAGATTAATTGATCTTTTTTTATTAATTGAACTCCTCTTGAATTGAAATTCCGATTCCTAAATCATTCAATGTCATGTATTGCTAATCATTCTAATCTTACTTCTTATTATTGCTACTGTTTTAATTATTGTTATCCTAATCTGAATTCAAAAAATCAAATGAGTATTTATGTGATTAGTTGTGAAGTTTATATGATTCTCCCATAAATATTTACACTAATGCTTTATTATGGTAAATGATTCTATCACACTTTTCCTTAGCGTTTATAATTAGTACACCTTCGTGCAATAGAAATAATATCTTATGAAGTTTTTCTTTATATTTATTCAATTTTTTCCAGAGCTTAAAGTTTCTTCGATCATTTATCTCTTTTTTTCTAACAAGACTTACTAAAAGAGCATAGCAAAAACTGAAGTGAACAAAAAGGTCTGTTGGTAAATTGAATAAGCCATACTTCAATGACCAAGAAATTATATAGCCAATATAAATTAAAAGCTGAACCAATGAAATTTGATACCATTCAAGTGTTGAATACAACCCAACAAATAAATTTTGAAACATCTGTAGAACCAAAACAGTATTTGGAATAAATTTATCTGGAGATTGTGAAGTAACTTTTTTTGAATATAAATAAGATAAAGTAAAGCACAAAGTTATATTAACCGCATCATAATGTCTTGGTGAGTACCTACCAAGTATATAGAGAACAAAAAATACCATAAGGACACTTTAAGTCATAATATAATTGTGATAAAATCCACGGTACTCCTCAATGAAAGCCCTGTGAAATGTCAAAGGTAAGGTCCCATAAATACTAATTTCATAAAGAGGCTTGATTAAAATCATCTGTTCTTGGAGTCTCGACTGTCTAAATTCTTCCTCAGAGTATTTTTAGTCTTTTCTACGCAGTGATAATCGTTCAAATATATTTGGGATCTTGACCATATATATAGTTAATTTAACTAATCAATGTTTTTCTTACTTAATTTAAATGATAAATGCAATAAAAAGTCAAATGCCAAGTATATTTAATTCCATGGGGTTTTGGGGTTTTGGGGTTTTGGGG